AAAAAATTTTTGTAATGTTTATTTATTTTTGAGACAGGGAGAGACAGAGCATGAATGGGGGAGGGTCAGAGAGAGAGGGAGACACAGAATCTGAAGCAGGCTCCAGGCTCTGAGCTGTCAGCACAGAGCCTGATGTGGGGCTCAAACTCACAGACCGTGAGATCATGACCTGAGCCGAAGTTGGAAGCTCAACAGACTGAGCCACCCAGGTGCCCCTAGAAGTCTACTTTTAACCAGACAATGCAGGTGGTCTGAACACCATACTTTGAGAAATGACCATAGAGCTATGCTGCCCAATATAGTAGCCACTAACTAACTACATGTAGCCACTGAGCACTTGAAATGTGGCTAATGCAAACTGAGATGTTCTGTAAGTGCAAGATACACACTGGATTTCAAAGACTAAGTAAAAAGAAAAGGATATTAAAAATCTCAATTTTTGTATATAGAGTGTATGTTGAAATGATAATATTTTAGATATGCTAGGTTAAATAAAATGGATTAGATACAATGTATTATTAAAATTAATTCTCCCCTGGGTGCCTGGGTGGCTCAACTGGTTGAGCATCCAACTGATTTTGGCTCAGGTCACGATCGCAGTGTCATCGGATTGAGTCCCGAGTCAGGCCCTGTGCTGAACATGGAGCCTGCTTAAGATTCTCTCTCTCCCTCTGCCCCTCTCCCTTGCTCACAGGCTCTCTCTCTCTCAAATCAATAAATAAAATTAAAAAAAAGTAATTCTCCTTAATTCTATTTACTTTTTTAAAATTGGCTTCTAGAAATTTTAAAATTATGTACGTAGCTCACATTATTGGACAGCGGTGCCTTAGAGAGTTCATGGTGAGGTTGGGGATGGGAATATGAGGCCCCTGAAACTGCATGCAAAATGTCAGCTGTCTGTCCTGGGGAGAGGTATATTTTGGATGTCCAGGGAGAGGTCTAGGACTTTCGTCAAATTCTCTAACTGGTTAATACTGTAATAAAAGCCAATGAGGGGCACCTGGGTGGCTCAGTTGGTTGGGCATCCGACTTCAGCTCAGGTCATGATCTCACAGTTCATGAGTTTGAGTCCCATGTCAGTCTCTGTGCTGACAGCTTGGAGCCTGGAGCCTGCTTCAGATTCTGTGTCTCCCTCTCTGCCTGCCCCTCCCCCACTCATTCTCTCTCTCTCTCTCTCTCTCTCTCTCTCTCTCTCTCTCTCAAAAGTAAATAAACATTAAAAAAATTAAAAAAATAAAAGCCAATGAGCACTATCTAGACACTTTCTTGGTGATCTTTAGGCAATAAGAAAGAGCTCCATTTTCTCATTTTGTTTCTAGTCTATAATAATCTCAAAATGTTCTGGATTCAGATCTAGGAGTCCTTTTATATGTCTTCTGAGGTAGCCAATAATTCCACCTCCATTTTGCAGATTAAAAAAAACTGAGGCTCAGAGAAGTAAAGTGACCTGCCTAAGGTCATACAGCTGGTTGGTGCTAGGTTTGGGGCCCCATGTCACATCTGTCTGACTCCAATGGTCTCTGTCCACACAATATATCGCTTATTGGGCATTTTAACTGTGATTTTTGGCTGACATTGTAAGCTAATTATTTGCTATGAATTGTCACTAAGGTGATCATATATCCAAGCTCACTATTCCTGTCTCCATTAATTGTCAATAGTGCCCTCATCACTCTCAAATTTGCCCTGGTTTGAATGTTATATAGTAAACCAATTTATCTGCTATAGATCCGGAGGTTGCTACAAACTGGGGCTCTGACTGTTCATTTCCTTAGACCAGAAGGGCTTCCTGAGCAAACTCTTTCCAAGATTATGAGTTTCTCATGCTGTGTTGAGGATGTCCTGCCGACTTGGGTGTCTGGGTGTTCATCCATCTCACATCAGTTTCAGTTGAGAACCGACCAAGGAAGAAGAAAAGCTGGAGGGGTGGGAAAGAGAAAGATAAGGAAAGGAGACAGATAAAGACAAGCCTCAAGGAAGCAAAGTGTTGGCAGAGGAGAAATAGAAAGATTGAGGCTAGAACCAGGGAAGTCGAGGCAAGAATGCTACCTCTTGGATTTTATATCTAACCCCAGGGGATGGAAGATGCTATTTAAAATGTCTTTCACAGGGGGCGCCTGGGTGGCACAGTTAAGTGTCCGACTTTGGCTCAGGTCACGGTTCGTGGGTTCAAGTCCTGCACTGGGCTCTGTGCTGACAGCTCAGAGCCTGGAGCCTGTTTCAGATTCTCTGTCTCCTTCTCTCCCTAACCCTAACCCACTCACGCTCTGTCTCCCTCTGTCTCAAAAATAAAAAAACATTAAAAACAAAATTTACAATGTCTTTCATAGGTTAAAAATTTTGTTAAAAATTTTTAAAATATTTATTTATTTTTGAGACAGAGACAGAGCGTGAACAGGGGAGGGGCAGAGAAAGAGGGAGACACGGAATCTGAAGCAGCTCCAGGCTCTGAGCTGTCAGCACAGAGCCCGACATGGGGCTCGAACTCACGAACTGTGAGATTATGACCTGAGCTGAAGTCGGATGCTTTACCGACTGAACCACCCAGGTGCCCCGATAGGTTAAAAATTTTGAAACATCCCTTGAAACATTCTTCACTCCAGGTAGGTTTCTAGTAAGCAGGGTTTTGAGTACCTCTGGTGTTTTCCTGTTATTGTTTTAAAGTTGTTAGCTGTGGTTAGAACCTGGTAGGAGCTGCACTCTTGTTTTTCCAGCTGATGGTTAGGAATGCCCAGCTAACAGTGACCAAGGGCAAGAAATCAGCTCAGGCATTTATGGAGTGGGTTAATTCTGCAGGAACGGACACCCATTTTTTATCCCTCTTTGATACCTGGCCTGACCAGTGAGTTTCATACTTTCCCACTGAGCTTGCCAAACCCAGTGCAATGAAACCAAGAGCTCCATAGAGAGAGTTCGTTGCACTGTGAGGCTGCCACTCTGGTTAAAATACTTGAACTCCCCGAACCTCAGTTCATGCATCTGTAAAATGGGAATAATATCTACCCTGCCTCCCTAACAGGCTTGTGATGTGGATCATATGACTTAGGATATATGAATAAAAATTGAAACTGTACAGTTTTATTAATAATAAGAAGGAAAGGTTGAGTGGGGTTTCTGGATCACTTAAAATAGAATCAGGATAAGTACAGCATCTGCTTTTTATATGCACCTTCAGGTGCTTTTTCCCGAGGAACCAGTTTATCCCCATGTCCCTGGTCCCCACGTCTGTGCGCTCCCTGCTATTGAGCCCTGCACCAGATATAGCTCCTAATGGGGTCTGGATGCCATTCTCAGAGGGAACTGCCTCTGCTGTGGGAAAAGGTTATGGGGCTGTAGAAAGGAGGCTGACAAAGCAGGAAGGGAATGCGAGTGCTGGCCCACACGAGCGAGCGTGCCCTGCAGCCTACTTGCCATCCTCATGGAGAGGGATCAAAAGCCCGGCTGCAGGTGACTCATGGCGTGGGGCTACCAAGCCGACTCCATTTTCTTTCCAGGTCTCGACCCTGCGGGCCCTTTATTCAACGGGAGACCTCCCGAGGACAGATTAGATCCCGGTGATGCACAGTTTGTTGACGTCATCCACTCCGACATTGATGGTAACATTCCTGTCCTTGTGGGTCAGTGAGCACCCGGCTCCCAGACTCCTAAAGAGTCTCCCCCGAGGGGAGCCTCATGCAGGGGTGGATCAGGTTCTTCCAGATTCCCTCTTTTCCTGCGGGGCAGGGTTCCAAATCCACCCAGGTATTGAAGGGACACTGGTTTAATGCAGGCATCCAGGATGTCTTGCTGGAGTGGAGGTTTCCCATCAACTTTTCTTATTTTTAAAGTGACCATCTTGACCAATCAAGGACAGGGTGATTTTCACACTGTGTGGACAAATGTTTCCACATATGCAGCAGGATTTGGATGCATGATTTCCATTTTTTGGGTTTTTCTTGGGTCTTTCTCGTTTTCTTAAGCTGAAAGATAAGTTCCAGTGTTGTGTCTCTCTCCGGAGAGCGATTCTGAGCCATGTTTAGCTCTCCAACTTTCTCTGGATCTTCCTGGCCATTTCCATCTTTTATGGTGCTGATTTCATAGCTGGGATTTGGTATAGGATATAGGGTTTGGGGTGATGTTAAAGTTGAGTCTTTATATCCAGACGTCTGGGACAAGAACTAGAGTAGGGACCTCGGAAGGCTGAGGGGACAGAGCAGAGTAGTCTTTAATAATACACCCTCTTTGTGATACAGCCACCTGAAAAACCCTTGATCACCTATCATGGGCTCTCTGGTGTGGTATTCAGCAATTGTTGGCCTTAAAGGAAACAGCTGCATTCTTACGACGCAGTTAGCAAAGCGTTACCTTACTTAAGTGCAGTACCTCGATGCCATTTTAATGCTTGATGGAATAGAGTAATGTATTTTTTATTCTTGGAAAGAAAGTGAATTTTGAGGAAAGAATAAGCTTTGCAGTCAGGCAGGGGTGGACTCAGATCCCAGGTTTTGTCCTTTCTAGCGGGATCATTTCATTCTGTAAGTCCTCTGAACCTCAGTGTCTTCATCTGTAGCTTACTTCACCTGAATTTACCAATGGCCACTTTTTGGACAGTGTGAATGTTAGAGGAAAGGTGTATAAAAGGTATAAAAACCCCCACAGACACATGTAGGTTCTCAATATATAACAGGTATTATTATTATCGCAACGGTGCACTATGTATACATGTATAAATAGTCTTTTAAATCAAGCATTTGACTGATTAGTTTGTAGTTATAAGGTTAAAAAGAATAAGCAATTATTAAATCAATCTATATTTTTCCTGGTCCCCGTTTTCTAGAAGAGTTTCCACTTAAAAAATTTTTTTTCTTACAAAGTAAAAGTTCATTTTTTCCTGTTTCTTTCTTTTTTTTTCTTCATTTTTTTCCCCCGTTTTTTATTCATTAAAGTCTGGCACAAATGCAGTTAGAGACCCAGGAAGCACTGGCAATTAGAAGGTTCCAGCCAAATATAAAGAAGAAGCATACAGTTTTATCAGACTTGCTGTGAATGACTGACCAAAACTCCCTTACATCTTGAGAAATATTGGAAATAGGTTCCCCTACTGTCTTTATAATCTCCTAGTTGGAAATCCCTGCTTCCTAACTAACTAGCTGGGTAGCTTTGAGCAAAATATTTAAATATGTAGAACAACAACAACACAAATGCCTGCCTATATGCTTCAGGCAAATGAGCTACATGATGTGAAAAGTTCAAAAATAAAACCATAATATATTTTCCTTTAGCACTGGGCTACAAGGAGCCATTAGGAAACATAGACTTCTACCCAAATGGAGGATTGGATCAACCTGGTTGCCCCAAAACAATATTGGGAGGTAAGGGCAAATACTTTGTATTTTGTATAATAGTGGTTTTTAAAAAGGCATATTTCAAAAATCTGATATTATTCTATGGGTAATAGTTTGTTTTTTTTTTTTTTATTTTTTTTTTCAATGTTTATTTATTTTTGGGACAGAGAGAGACAGAGCATGAACGGGGGAGGGGCAGAGAGAGAGGGAGACACAGAATCGGGAACAGGCTCCAGGCTCTGAGCCATCAGCCTAGAGCCTGAGGCGGGGCTCAAACTCACGGACCGGACCGCGAGATCGTGACCTGGCTGAAGTCGGACGCTTAACCGACTGCACCACCCAGGCGCCCCGGGTAATAGTTTTTAATAGAAAACAAATCATCTGAGAAGATAGAGATAGTATAAATATAAATGAAAAATGAAAAATTATTACTCAAATATACTACTTAAAAAAAACAAGACATTGCAGCATTATTGGCAATAACGAAGATACAGAAGCAACCCAAGTATCCATCGATAGATGAATGGATAAAGAAGATGTGGTATATTTACACAATGGAATATTGCTCAGCTATAAAAGGGAATCAATCAAATCATTTGCCACAACATGGATGAATCCACAGGCTATTATGCTAAGTGAAATTAGTCAAAGAAAGACATAGGGGAGATGGGTGAAATGGGTGAAGGAAATTAGGAGTACATTTACCATGATGAGCACTGAATAACGTACAGAATTGCTGAACCATTATATTGTACATCTGAAACTAATATAACAGTGTATGTTAATTATGCTTCACTTAAAAAATTTCTTTTAATGTTTTTTATTCACTTATTTTTGAGACAGAGAGAGACAGAGCATGAACGGGGGAGGGTCAGAGAGAGAGGGAGACACAGAATCGGTAGCAGGCTCCAGGCTCTGAGCTGTCAGCACAGAGCCCGACACGGGGCTCGAACTCATGGACTGTGAGATCATGACCTGAGCTGAAGTCGGATGCTTAGCCGACTGAGCCACCCAGGTGCCCCAATTATGCTTCATTTAAAAAATAAATTTAAAAAATAAGTAACCATAACCATATGATTAAGAGCTATTATGAATTATTGCTCTCTCATGAAAAGGTGTGTCCTTGACCTAGAAATTCCATATCTGGAAATCTCTCCTAGAGAAATAATGGAAAATGTAAACAAAAATCAAAGTGCAAAAATATCTGACATAGTATTATTTATAGTAGCTACATTTTAAGAAATAATCTAAATATCCAACATGGAAAATTGTTAAATAACTATGATATGCCCACACAAAGGAATATAATTGCCAAAAAGTCATATTTTCAGATTAATGAAAATGCTTACAATGGGATGTTAAGTGAAAATGACACAAAACTGTACAGTATCATCCCAATTTGTTTTTTAAATGTGTATTTGTACATGTGTAAGTATAGAAAAAAAGACCAAGCATAAATGCTGCAAATAATTATTAGGGGTGAACTGTGGATATTGGACTTCTGGGTGATTTTTGCATCATTATTTCCCATTATTTTGTATTTTCTAAATCAGCATGTATTATTTTATAAGAAAAACTTCACAAAGCAAAAAAAAAAAAAAAAAAAAAAAAAAAAAAAAAAAACAGTAGATGGCAACATAAAAGTAATAGTAGTATTTTATTCCGATAAAAAACCCATCCCTAGGTGCTCTTAATCTGTATTTCATCATTGCCAGAGAAAGTTAAACAATCATGGATATGATTCTAGAAAAAGGTAATCTTGTTACAAAACGGTAGCTGTATATGGCCCCATGGGGACATGGTGTTTGAAAATGATCCAGATGAAATGGCATAAGTAGGGTCAACCATATTTCACCATAAATGGTGGGTGTTCAAATCCTGTCCTGTAGGATGTAGGGTAAATACTTCTGAGGAGCCAAGATAATGTGATTTGCTTATAAAGGCCATTCTCTGTATTGTTATCAACATCGTTGTTTTGGCAAGTGAAAGTTCCAGGAACAGTAAGTAAATATTGACTTGTCAGATTTGTTCCTGTCTGGCTTGGTCCCATGCCAACCCATGTTTCTCCTCTCTTGCCCTAGTTTATTTCTGTCCTTCACTGAGCTCCTCTATGGGCATACATAAGTGGACTGTGGGGAAAGAAGAAACATTGTTCTTACTCAAGCAACAGTGCCTCTCCAAACCACTAGCTCACAATCATAACTCCTTTCTTATTTGGTTCACTGTTTCCTACTCACATCCTCACCTCCTCTGATTACCCATCTTTGGGACCCAGTTCCCCTTCATCATCTGACCCATCAACCTTCCAACCACCTTTCAGTTTTGTGTGCTGCATTGCTTCATCATGTCCAACTCTCCTGACGCCATCTCCATGCCTTGCTGGCCTCCTGTCTCACCACTGCATCACCTGGCACCCACCAGGAATTAACTAGAGCTTGCCTCTTGCCTCTTCTTGCCCATTCATGGCTTCTGGTGCCACCTCCTATTGTTCAGTCCCTCTCATTCCACCCTTCACTCTGTAGCAGAAACAGAGCCCCTTCCACTGGGCTTCTCTCATGAATGTAATCCCATTAGAGACCCCCTTAGGTCTCTGTCATGTCAGCCACCACCTTGGCTTGAGAACATTCCAGAGCTGTCACGGAGCCTGGTTGAGTACAAGGTCCAGGAAAACTTGGTTACTTCTCCATGGCCCTCAATAACGTCACAGAATCCTCATGTTTATCTCTTGCCAACTCCCTACAATCACTCCTCATGCTTCTATTCTGAAAATCTCCCCACCTATAAACCCTCACCTCTTAGAGGTGATCTAGATTTGCCTTTTTACCTAGATTAAAGATCTCACCTGAGGGAGCCATTCTATGTATCCTCATTTTAGTTTACAAGGTCAGTCTTTACATTTTTGTTTCCTTCTGCCCCCAAGGTGGAGGCATCCCCCATCCTTTTTCAAAGCTGTCTCCTGTGCCTGCCCTCCTTGGGGATCTTCCTCTAACAATTACTCCTCAATGGCCCCTTTCTCTGATGTCTTTACTAGTTTAAATGTGCTCTGCTGAAAATCTCTGGGGAAACTCTGACTACCATTGAATCTTTCTTGTCCTTTTCACTGACAAAGGAAGGACATAGGTTGAATCCTGATTCAACCATATAATAGTCGTGTGACCTTGGTCAAGTCATTTAAGCTGAGTCTCAATGTGCTACTAGGTAAAATGGGGATGATCATGCCTATCTTCTTTTATCCTGCCACGTGCCAGTATGAATGCTGATCTATAGGTTTTTGTAAGGGTTAAATGGAAGCTGTTAGCACAGTGGTTGGCCTATAGCAGACAGATGGTGAACTGTGTGTGCCTATAATGTGTGATGTATTATTGTTAAATGCTACGACTGCTCTACTCTTTCATTGTTCCCTTTATGATAAAGGATTGCAATATTTTAAGTGTGACCATCAGAGGTCCGTGTACCTGTACCTTTCTTCTCTGAGAGAGAACTGTGCTATCACTGCATATCCCTGTGACTCCTACCGGGATTATAGGAATGGCAAATGTGTCAACTGTGGCATGCCACAAAAGGAGTCCTGTCCCCTGCTGGGTAAGTCCAACAAGCAATTTTACCCTCTGATTAACAAATAGTTCGTTTTGGGTAGAATCCGAGCACCACTTTACTATCTAAAAATGGGCCTGAAAATTGTGTGCTTAAAAAAGAATTTACTTAGCTTTTTCTAGCTAATTTGTTCTGTGAAATACTCTTGAATGTCCTAATCAGAAACTGTGTTAGAAAAGCCATTTATATACAATTTCAGCTAGAGGGCAGTACAACCTCCCTGGACACTCTAGCATAAAAAAGAAGGTTCCAAAGAGTTTCCAAGCCCACCCAGGGCAAAGTCACCTTATATAGCCTGCTCCCATGGGGACAGAAACAACCTCTTCACGCACACAACCTCTCTGCTGGGGGAAGGTCACAGTGAGCTCTGACTCTCCTGTCAAATGAGCCTTGCAGAATGATCCCTTCCAACAAGTCTTGTCTGTAGATACCCTCACACCGCACCCTGGTTTCTATGTGCACATTCAGGGCGGGGTAACAGATACTGCGGAGGCTGCTTGGGTATTTGCTAAGGGTTGGTAGAAATATTCCAGATGGTGAGGACTAGAAACGGGATGATGATGAAAATTTTCTGATTGTTCTAAGGAAAAATCCAAGTTAACATTAGAGCATGCTACAGACAAGGGGTTCTCAACCTTGGCTGTGCATAAATTAATTGGAAAGCTCTAGGGAGCTTTTAAAAATTACCAATGTTTCCATTCCAGATCAATTAGTCAGCATGCAAAGTCCATTCTCTAGGGGTGGGGACAGAAGGGAGAGAGAGAGACACCTCACTGATGTGACTCAGCTTCATTCCTGCAGGCACAGAAGTAAAGAAGAGTCCCCTGCTGGTTGACATAGTCACTTAGCAAGCTCAGGTTCTGTGGGATTTAGGGGCCTAATTGTAGTTCTTCAGGAAAGCACAATGCTTTGCAAGAGTGATGCTATTTTAGGTATAAACCTGAAACTGCTTTAAACTATAAAATGAATGTATTACTGAAAAATGTCAGCGCTATTCTTAGCCTACCCAGTGTGTGAGAGAACCAGCATGCTGCTGAGAACTAGGGTGATGTAATGTCAGGGAAAGGCAGGAGGAGACACTGTTGTGTCATGTTGCCAGTCCCAGCTCTGAGGGACAGGGCAGCGAGCAAGATATGGTGGATGCAGGGGAGGCAAGCCCTGGTGGCCCTGCAGGTCCACCCCCACAGGGGTGGGTACGAGGGAGATTGTCTTGGTGGTGTGGGGGCTCAAACTCACTGTTCTCACTACCTCCCCAGCTGCTTTTACATTTATAGAATACATGCTAATGTCACATTTTTCCAACTTGCTTTACAGGCTATTATGCTGATAATTGGAAAGAGTATTTAAAGCAGAAAGAGCCTCCTATGACTAAAGCGTTCTTTGACACAGCCGAGGAGAAACCATTCTGCAGTGAGTGGTGGATGTGGTTGTTTGCTTTTGCCCAACCCCCCCCCCTTTTTTTTAAGTTTATTTATTTTGAGAGAGACAGAGACAGTGTAAGTGGGGGAGGGGCCGAGAGGGAGGGAGAGAGAGAATCCCAAACAGGCTCCGTGCTGCCAGCCTGATGTGGGGCTTGAAGCCACGAAACCGTGAGATCATGACCTGAACCAAAACCAAGAGTCAGACACTCAACTGACTGAACCACCCAGGCAACCCCCAAACCCCTTCTTTTTAAAAAATGGCTGAGTCTCAGCTTCCTGGCTACCTCTTGGCAAATGAAGGGCATGTTAAAGTGTGGATTTTGGAACTGGGAAGACTTCGGTTGAATCCTGACTCTATCACATAGTAGCTGTGTGACCTTGGTGAAGTCCTTTAAACTCTTTGAGTCTCATTGTCCCGCTAGGTAATAATGCCTATCTTCTGGGTTAAGGATTAAATCTCAACAAATCGTAATTATTAGCTTCATTGGATGGCTATTCTTTTTACTTTTTTAATTAAAAAAATTTTTTTAAAGTATACTCTATGCCACACACAGGGCTTGAACTCACGACCCTGGGACCAAGAGTGGCATGCTCTACTGACTGAGCCAGCCGTGCACCCCTTAGATGGCCATTTTACTCACTAAGATCTTCCAGAAAATTTGCTTGCTCCCCAAAAGACATGACATTTCAGCTAGGTAAAATTAGGTGTCAGCTACATCTGTAGGTCAGTTTCAGCTCCAAAGCAACCATGATGACCTTCTACAGACATTGAGAGCTTGGGTATTCCAGATGGGGGCTAAGTGGGGCAGCAGATGATTAATGCCCTGGGAAGTAGGGAATTTTCTTGGGCAGATGGATGTCTTACAATCTTGTCCCCCTTTTCACTTTTCTTAGGAGCAACTCTTATAAAAGAGGGTGCAGATCAGTGGGGTTCCTTCCTCCTTTGGAGCCATGTGTGGCAGCCCAGGGATTGCTGTCTGCCTGGTCCAAGTGAGGCAAGTGCCTGAGTAATAGTGGGCCATGAAATGGCAACTCCAGGGTGGATCTTATTCCTTTGTGGGACCAACATCTCCTGAGCCTCCTTCCCCTTCTATATTTCTCAGGCAATATTTGTATACATGTACCCATATATTTACCACTTTTTTGATTATCATTTTTTTCATGTATTTCGTAAATACAGGTAAGTGTGCTAATGATGGGAGAACACCAGAGCATGAGAAGAACTCAAAGAGGCAAACCTGACTTAGTCTAAGGGTCAGTGAAGGTCTCCTGGAGGAAGTGACTAAGCCAAAACCTGAAGGATGAGTTGGCAAAGGGGGCAAAGTAAGAGTGTTCGAGTGGGGAGAAGGCCCAGGAGCAAGAGGCAGCCTGGCAGTGCAGGCGACACACATGGTGTGGCATGACTGGGGAAGAGATGATGGTGGCTGGTGGACATGGCCCAGATTGCAGACAACCTTGTCAGCCATGGAGGGTCTCTACATGGCCACCTGCTTGCTTTATTTTAAAAGGCAGGGAATGCAGTGAACCAATCATACTCAGCAGTAGGCCATGATACCTCAGTGAATAAGGTGGAATACCACTCCAACTGTGATGCCCAAACATGACAACTGGAGACCATTGGATTCTGCCATCATGCAGGCCATCTTGACCAAAAAGAATGCAAAGGAATTTTAGAAAATTCTGCCCAGATCTCTGCAGAGACACTAGAGAGGAAGAGAACAAGAAACTCAAGTTATGAAGGAGGTTGGGTTTTTAGGAACTGACCTATCAGGAGAGCAGTTGAGAGTCTCTCTCTCTTACTGTGCTCTCTCCCTGTTTTGCAGTATATCATTACTTTGTGGACATTATAACTTGGAACAAGAACATAAGAAGAGGATCCATTACAATCAGATTGACAGACAGAGCTGGAAACACCACAGAATCCAAAATCAATCAGTAAGTTGGGCTGGGGTAGTTCACAGTTTGCTATTTCCTTTTTTGACCGGAGAAATTAAATCTCAAATATATCTACTTTCTTACTTATAGGTCTGTACTTATCTTTGTTCTACAAAAACATAAGGGGGCGTTTTTCTTAGTTGCTTCTCATGGTTCTTGATCTTCTAGGCTCTGTACAAATGGAATTGGTACAGGGATTTACTTTCTTTCCTTCCTTCCTTTCTTTCTTCCTTCCCACCTCTCTCCCTCTCCCTCCTCTCTCCTTCCCTTCCTTCCTCTCCTCCTTCCTTTGTTTAAACATTTAATTACCAAAGTCATCCTTGCTTGCTGTGAAGGATTTATACAGTAAAGAAATATATAACATAAAAGTGCAAATACTTGCCCCAGCCCAACAATCCCACACCTAAAGGCACTCACCCCCACACACATATTTCAATCGTTTTATGCGCTCATAATATACATATATATAAACATGTAAATGTATGTTTCTCAAACTCAGAAAATGTGATGTGCAATAATAAAAAATTGGAAACACACTAAAAATCTAACAATGGGAAAATGGTTACTTAAATATTCCTATATAATAAAATACTATTCATAGGTTAATTTTTGCAACATATTGAATGAAATGCTTATAATGTGCTAAATGAAAAATCCAGGATGTTAAATTTTATAAAGTACAAAATTAGTTCAACAATGTAAAAAAAATGAAAAAGAAATATGCCTAACATGTTAGCTGGCCTTTGGGTGGTAGGAATATGAGTGCTTTATTCAGCTTCTCTTTACTTTTCAATTTTATATGATATTGTATATATAGAGTTTAAAAATAGTTAATCATTTTCATCAATTAATTTTATAATCAGGAAGAAGGGGGGAAATAATTCAAAGAAATTTGAGGTTCATTTTATTCATTTACTCAGGAAACATTTTTTGGGGGTCCTGTTATCTACTAGGCACTTGGGTTGTCTGTTGGCTTCACCCATAGAGGACCAACTAGAATGTCATCTGAAACTGGCAATTGCCTATAGGTTCACCATGTAGATGAATAGAGAAGGAGTGTGCTGGTGGTCTGGAGGTGACTTTTTTTTTTTAATGTATCCTTGGATGATAATAACAACAGCCTTTCTTTATTGAACTAAACACATTACACATGCTGGCTAATGCAATTCACACTAAAACCCTGTGAGGTGGTATTATAATCTGTATTATATACATAAGAACACAGGCTTAGAGAGCCAAGTGATTGGCCAATATCACATGCCTTTCAGCACCAATGTCCCCAAACCCAGTGGTGCTACATTTTCAGGGAGGGCACGGCTAGGGGGAGCATCTTGAACAACCAGCGTCAGGTAGTTTATGGGCTGTGATCTTCAGTAAGGAAGCTGGGCAGAGACCTCATCTGGAGACTCTAAGAAATAGCAAGGAAAATTGTGCAGTTCTATGAGAAGTAGTGACCTACAAAATTTGGTTATTCATGCCAGTAACTGACTACATATTGGCTTTACATGTCTTAGAAATTTTAATTTTATGTAGTGAATTTCTCCCAACTAGGACTTCCTAACTGCAGAGGGTTTTTTTTTTTCTCGATTCAGATAGAGACCTTAACGTCTCTATTTTATTCATGTTCAGTTGTTCTTATTTTAGTCTTGCTTGTGAAAAGTCATCACCAATCAGAGAATATATGGAAAAAAAGGAAATGGTTACTCTATTACGTGGTGAGATTATCTCTACCCTTCTATTTTTTGCAAGGTAAACTATTAGATTTAGTGTTTAGTATTTTTACAATTTAAGAAAAGGAAAATAATATCAGAGTATGTGCCCTAAGTTTATTTGGTCTTACCAGACTATGGGTACAAATATAGTCACATTCAAGAATATTACCTTCCTGGTGACTCTCCCTGTATCCATGTTTTGGATGTATTTCTTTTTTACTTTATAACCTTTTTTTTTTTTAATTGAGATATAATTCACACACCATCAAACTCACAGTTTTAAAGTTTACATTTCAGTGGTTTTGAGTATATTAACAAAATGTGCAAACGTCATTACCATCTAATTCCAGAACATTTTTTTAAAGTTTATGTATTTATTTTGAGAGAGAGAGAGAGAGAGAGAGCATAAGCAGGGGAGGGGAAGAGAGAGAGGAAGAGAGAATCATAAGCAGGCTCCACACTGCTTACAAACCACAAGATCATGACCTGAACTGAAATCAAGAGTCTGATGCTTAACCAACTGAGCCACCCAGGTGCCCCTCTGGAACATTTTTATCAATTCAAAAAGAAACCCTATACCTGTTAGTAATTCCTCATTCCTCCTTCCTCCCCATCCCCTGTCAACCACTAATCTGCTTTCTGTCTCTATAGATTTACCTATTCTGAGAATGTCATATAAATGGAATAATATAATATGTGGTCTTTTTGTGTCTGACTTTTTTTGCTTAATGTTTTCAGGATACTATAGCAATACTTCATTTTTTTTATGGTCAAATAATATTCCATGGTATGGATATGTCCCATTTTATTTCAATCCAATGACCTCTGGGTTATGAGCCCAGCTCACTCCCACTGTGCCATTCTGCTCACACATACCACATTTTATTTATTCTTTTGTCAGTTGATGGACATTCGGGTTATTTCCACTTTGGAGGCTATTATGAATAATGTTGCTATGAAAATGTGTCTCCATTTCCACATAGACATACATTTTCATTTCTCTCGGGTATATACCTAGGAGTGGAATTGCTGGGTCATATGATAACTCCATTTCACATCTGTAGGAAATGCCAAAGCAGCTACACCATTTTACATTCCCACCAGCCATGTGTAAGAGTTTCAATTTCTCCACATCCTCGCCAACACTGTTATTATCTGTCTTTAAATTTTTTTCTTTTTAATTGTGATTGAAAAATGCAACATCAAATTTACCATCTTAATCATTTTTTGAGTGTACAATTTAGTAGTGTAAAGTATATTCACATTGTTGTGAAACACTTCCAGAACTTCTTCATCTTGCAAAACTCAAACTCTATACCCATTAAATAACAACTCTCCCATTTCCCTCTCCCCCTAGCAACTACCATTCTAGTGTCCCTATGAATTTGACTACTTTAGATACCTCATATAAGTGGAATCCTACACTATTTATCTTTTTGTGATTGGCTTATTTTACCTAACATAGTATCTTCAAGGGTCATCCATGTTATAGCTTGTGACAGGATTTCTCTTGTTTTTTAAAGGCAGAGTAATATTTTGTATGTATATGTCACATTTTGTATGTCTTTATCACAGACATATCCATCTTCTTTATTGTAGCCATTCTAGTGGGCATTATGGTATATCTCATGATTTTGTTTCGCAATTCCCTAATGATTAATAACATTGAGTCTTTCATGTGCTTACTGGCCATTTCTAGATATTTTTTTGGGAAATGTCTATTCAGGTCCTTTATTCATTTTTTCCCCTTTTACTTATTTTTGAGTGGTGGGGGGAAGGGCACAGAGAGAGGGGAACAGAAGGTCCAAAGTGGGCTCCCCTGAGGGAGACCGATTCGGGGCTCGAACTTACAAACTATAAACTGTGAACTAGGAGATCACAACCTGAGCCGAAGTTGGATGCCCAACCGACTAAGCTACCGAGTGCCCTCATTCTTTTCCCTTTTAAATAGACTTCATTTTTTAGAGCAGTTTTAGATTCACAGCAAAATTAAACAGGAAGTGCAGAGATTTCCCATATACCCTCTCGCCCACATACACACAGCCTCCCCACTATCAAAACCTGATAATAGGGTGGCATACACAGTTACAGCTGAAGCATCTACATTGACGCATCATTACCCAAAGTCCATAGCCTACATTAGGGTTCACTGGTGGTGGTGTACATTCTATGGGTTTTGACAAACATGTAAGAACATATATCAACCATTATAGGATCATGGAGTTGTTTCACTGCCCTAAAAATCCTCTGTGTTCTGCCTATAATATCCTTCTCTTCCCTAACCTTTGGCAGGGAATGGTCTTTTTACTGTCTCCATAGTTTTGCCTTTTCCAGAATGTCATGTAATTGGAGTCATACAGTACGTAATCTTTAGAGTGGCTTCTTTCACTTAGTAATAGAATTTAAGTTTTCTTCATTTTTTTTCATAGCTTGCTAGTTCATTTCCTTTTAGCACTGAATAATATTCCACTGTCTGAATGTACTACAGTTTATCCATTTTCCTGATGAAGGACATTTTGGCTATTTCATAATTCTGAATAAAGCTGCTATAAACATCCGGGTATAGGTTTTTTTGTGTGTGTGCCTTAGTCACTTTATTTTTATTTTTAAAAACAGGCATTTATTATTTTATTTTTATTTTTATAGTTTTTGAGAGAGAGAGAGAGAGGGGGCACAAGTGAGCAAGAGACAGAGAGAGAGAAAGAATCCCAGGAGGGGGAGAGAGAGAAGTGGGGCTCATCCGAAGCAGGGCTCGAGCTCACAAACCGTGAGATCGTGACCTGAGCTGAAGTCAGATGTTTAATGACTGAGCCACCCAGGGGCCCCTCACTCACTTTAAAATTGAATTATCTTTTTATTGTTGATTTGCAAGAATTTTTTATGTACTCTGGACACAAATCCTTGATAGTTTTAGGTCTCACTTAGGTCTTTGATCCATTTTGAGTTCACTTTTGCATATAGAATGATGTAGGATGTCCTACTTCATTCTTTTGCCTTTGGATATCCAGTTGTCACAGCACTATTTATTGAAAAAACTATTCTTTTTCTGTGAATGTCTTGACATCCTTGCCTAAGTCAGGTGACAGTGAATGAAAGGGCTTCTTTCCGGACTCTCAATTCTATTCCATTAATCTATACATCTATCCTTATGCAAGTACACATTGTCATGTAGCTTATAGCATTACTGTGGCTTTCTAACAAATTTTGAAATCAGGAAGTGTGAATCCCCTAAGTTGGGTCTTTTTCAAAGTTGTTTTGACTATTCTGGGTCTCTTGAATTTCCATATGCATTTTAAAATTAGTTTGACAATTTCTGCAAAAAAAGAAAAAAGAAAAAAAGGCAGCTGGGATTTTTGATAGGGATTGTTTCTGTCCCCTTAGGTGGTAGGAAGTTTTACTTTGAAATCATTTTTAGTTCACCCCTCCCCAGAGAGTCTCCTATTCAACTCCCCTCCACGACTGGCTTTGTTTCATGTCTGATTGCACTGCACTGAAAAAGAAAACTCATTACTAACTTTGAAAAAAGGCCAACAAAAGTGGATTTCAGTATTTCTGCCTTCACATATTTTTAAGGTTCCTCAGTATTCTTTACTTTCCTCTTAGTTCAGTGTGATTCAAAAGGGTTTTAGTTTTGTTTTTGCTTTAATTGTATCCACCATTAGGAGTTTCCAGGGTGTTTAGTGTACCTACTACCAGAAACAAACATCTGGCTCCTATTATAGGTCATAACCCATAGTTCGCTGGCTCTTGTTCCCTTTATTCTTATATGAACTCAATACCTTGGTTTGTGCCTCCCCGTGTATTTCTGGACATCCCTCCAGGTGGAAGAGGGGGTCCTACCTGTACTCAGAGACAAGCTTCACCAGCTCCAAGAGGTCTTTTCCCTCTCCTGCCTTCCATCTACCCCCACGGGGTTTTGCCATCTGCAGGGTGCCATCACCCCCTCCTGAGTCTCTGCACTTTTGTGGTTCCACAGCTGCTCCTGGAGAGGGATCCAATTCAGGATCACTGACTGAGGTTGGTTATCCTGTCTCTTTAGTCTTCACATAGGAATAGTTCTTCCATCTTTCCTCAACTTTCCTGACTTTACAGGTCAGTTATTTTCAGAATGTCTTCCATTTGGGTTTGTCTGATGCTTCCTCGTGATGACATTCAGATCATGCATCTCTGGCAAAAACTGCATAGAAGTGACGTTATGTTTGGCTCCGTGTGTCCTATTAGGAGGCCCACACTTTGGTTCATTTCATTAACTTGGATCAGTTTATTACGGTGTTTTTTCCCCCCAGTTTCTCCACTATGAAGTTACTGTTTTTCCCTGGTATTAGTAAGTATGTTGCAGGGAGGTACTTTGAGACCCATTATTGCTAAAATGTCCCATTATTCCTGAAACTTTTACCCAACAGTTTTGATGTTTTGTGGTTGGATTGTTACTATGATGGTTGAATGGTGATTTTTCAAATTCATCATTTAGGAAAAGCTTTCTTTTCCTCCCATTTATTTATTCATTTATTTGGTTATATCAATATGGACTCGTGGATTTTTATTTTATTTTAAATGTTTATTTATTTTTGAGAGAATGGGAGAGAGAGAGGGAGACAGAGTTCTGAAGTGGCTCTGTGCTGACAGCAGAGAGCCCAACGCTGGGCTTGAAGTCACGAACCATGAGATCATGACCTGAGCCGAAGTTGGACGCTTAACTGACTGAGCCATCCAGGCGCCCTGGATTTTTATTTTATTAATGGAGACTTATAATTAGTTACTACCATTATTTATTTATTTTGATATTTAAATTGTCTCAAATCTGGCCATTAGAAGCTCTTCAAACTGGGTCTGCACCCTTTTTTTAAAATGCATTTTTTATTGTGATGAAACCATATAATGTAAAATTTATCATCTTAATCATTTATAAGTATACAGTTCAGTAGTGTTAAGAATATTCACATTATTGGGGCGCCTGGGTGGCGCAGTCGGTTAAGTGTCCGACTTCAGCCAGGTCACGATCTCGCGGTCTGTGAGTTCGAGCCCCGCGTCAGGCTCTGGGCTGATGGCTCAGAGCCTGGAGCCTGTTTCCGATTCTGTGTCTCCCTCTCTCTCTGCCCCTCCCCTGTTCATGCTCTGTCTCTCTCTATCCCAAAAATAAAATAAACGTTGAAAAAAAAAATTAAAAAAAAAAAAGAATATTCACATTATTGTGAAATCAATCTCCAGAACTTTTCACCTTGCAAACTGAAATTCTATACCCATTGAACAACAACTCCCTTTTCTCTCTCCCTCCAGCCTCTGATAACTACCATTCTACTTTCTGTTTCTATGAATTGGATTACTTTAGACACCTTATATAAATGGAGCCAAACAATATATATCCTTTTGTGATTGGCTTATTTCATTTAGCGGAATGTCCTCAAGGTTTATCCATGTTGTAGCATGTGACAGAATTTCCTTCATTTTAAAGGCTGAATAATATTCATTGTATGTATCACATGTTGATAATCCATTATCCACTGATGGACATTTGGGTTGCTTCTACCTCTTGGCTCTTATGAACGACGTTGCTATGAACATGGGTGTGCAAATATCTCTTGGAGACCTTGCTTTCGTTTCTTTGGGGCACATACCCGGAAGTAGAATTGCTGGATCATATGGTAATTCTATTTTTAATTCTTTGAAGAGACCCCATACCATTTGCCATTGTGGTCGTACCATTTTATATTCCTAGCAACAGTGCACAAGGGTTCCAATTTCTCCATATCCTCATCAACACTTTTTCGCCATCCTAATTCACGTGAAGTGATTCTGTATTCTTTTGAACATTTCCACCATTCTGTGAGCATTCCTTACTTTCTGGCATATGGCTTGTTGCAGGATCACTTTGCACTTTCCCTGACCTAGCCCTGGAATCAACCATTTCTCCCGGAAGCCTCCTACCCATTCCTTTTAGCGAGGATGGTATTTAGAAACTAAAACCTGGGTACCTTTCGGATTAGTTTTACTTGTGGCACTTTTGCTCCTCCCAGGACTCAACACATGATTCTAGTGAGGCTGGGGTGACACACACCCCCTCACCCTAATCCCCACCTCCAAACTGATGATTCATTTCTAGAGCAAGTCTCCCATTTCTGAGCCAAGGGGCTCGCCACGGTCTACTTCCCCAGATCCCTAGAGGGACACTGACCCAGTGAACCTCCCCAGTGGATATTCCGTAGGCTCAATTTGAGATTCCAACTGTAGGAAGCATCACATACATAGGAAAAAGTATTGGAACTTAGGATTTAGCTATTTTATTTGAGAGGCATGACTGAAAAAAATATTTGCTTAAGCATAACTTCTAAATTAGTATCTAGTTGGGCTAAACATATACATATGCATCTAGCAATGCAGTTTAATGGAAAGATTGTAACTTTGAACTCTGAACTGAGTTTGAATCCCTGCACTGATTCTGAGAAGCATTGTGACCTGGGTGAGTTTAAGCTCTGCAAGCATCTGTTTCCTTGTCTGTAAAATGAAGATAATAGTCATCTTGAAGAATTTTTCAGGGGAATGGAGACATGTGTCAAGAAATGAGGATGCTATCCGGTATATAGTAGGCAGAGCATGCCTCTCTTATGCCATAATATTTCATCATTCCTGGGGCCAGCAGCCTCACTTATGCAATCCTCTGAAATCCAGCAGACTGTGGGGTCAAGGGACTACCTGCTTATGAGTGATTTGTAGCTTTTGAAACTGTTTTCTTTCGTTTGCAATCTATATCCACTTACTTCATTTCTTCTCTCCAGTGAACCTGCAACTTTTCAGAAATACCACCAAGTGAGTCTGCTTGCAAGATTTAATCAAGACTTGGATAAAGTTGCAGCCATTTCCTTGGTGTTCTCTACAGGGTCTACAATAGGCCCGAAGTATAAGCTCAGGATTCTCCGAATGAAGTTGAGGTCACTTGCCCATCCAGAGAGGTGAGCCATCAGCAGCGTTTGACAAGCTCTGGTTTTCCAAAGATGCTATTGGTTTCTGTCCAATCTCCTTGGTCTGATGTTTTAGTAGGACCTCATCAATTACAATGAAGGACGTGGAGGGTTTTCAAAAAATAGACTTGATAAAGATGAGTAGCCCCATAATTCAAGACAATTTTACTGGTAGGAGCTTAAAGATAAATGGCCCAATTAATCCAAAAAAATAATGTTGCTACATGCTTACAGTTATATAATTCTTCCCTAATCACTCCACCCACACTGCTTGCAAGCTGGTATATGCTGTGGAAAAGAAAGCCTCATATAATCTGGCAAATGCACAGCCTAGTATAAAAAAAGGTACAGAATAATTGGAGTATTTTATTCCATGGATACAGTATGAAAGTACTACTCCAGGTTGAATTTCATAACTGCCCTGAGAATGTGCTTGTTCTTAGGAAATACACACTGAAGTATTAAGGGGTAAACAACCTATCTTCATTGGTTCCAAAAAAATAAGCAACAGAGTGTGTGTGTGTGTGTGTGTACGGGGGGACAGAGTCAAAGAGGGGGAGAAAGAGCAAAGCTGTGGTGGCATGTACGTTTTGTGACTAATGCCACTCCAATGTATAGTCCTAGCATACAATCTGTGGACAAGACAGAAAATGCTGTGAGCATTCAGCACTTTATGCTTATGAATTCTTTTTAAATTTTAATGTTTATTTACTTATTTTGAGAGAGAGATTGTAAGCAGGGGTGGGGCAGAGACAGAGGGGGAGAAAGAGAAAGAATCCCAAGCAGGCTCCATGCTGCCAGTACAGAGCCCGATGCCAGGCTTGAACCCACAAACCCTGAGATCATGACCTGAGCTGAAAACAAGAGTCAGTGGCTTCACCTACTGAGCCACCCAGGTGCCCCTGGATTCCTTTTTCCTGAAGGCAAACATTTAATAATGCAAGTTGCTTCTAAGAGGACAGTCATTACATCTTAAAACCATGGGACTTTTCAACACTTTTTTTTCCAGATTACCAAAGGAATACATGTTGATTTTATAAAATCTGGAAAGTGCAAAAAGTGTTAAGAAGCAGAAAAATACCATCCATAATGTTATTATTCAGGGGCAACAACTGTTATTTCTTTCTAACCTCCTTTCTATCATTGCTTTAAACCTGGAAATAGTTAGGTGGTAAATAAAATTTTATATCTTGTTGTTGATGTGGGCTATGCTTATTTACCATAAGCACTTTCCTGTAATGTTAGAAATAATTGCTCCACAATTTTATAACCTAAGGATATAATACAATTTATTTTTCTAGAATGGGATATTTTTACTACTTGATTGGCAAGGATATCCTGTCTTATTTTTACAGGCCCCAGTTGTGTCGGTATGATCTTGTTCTGATGGAAAACACCGAAACAGTCTTCCAACCTATTCTGTGCCCAAGGTTGCAGATGTAACATGCCGGGACACAAGGGCACCAGTGACTTCAAGAAAGCTACAACTACAGGCTTTTTTAAAGTGTCACCTCACCTTTTTCCTCAAGGCACGTGGACGTATGAATAAGCTGGGTTTTTTCCAGCAGCGTCCCATGGATGTCACATTGCAAAATGTCAAACGACCTTGGATTATGGAACAGTCCTGGGAAGGGAGCCCCTATGTAGGGCAAGTCAGAAATAGCCAGGCTCCCAACAGCCCAGTGCCTTGTCTGGCTGCGTCCTGGGGCCTCGTTTGTTCTGGCCTGTCAGTTCTGCTGCCGGTCACTCAGGCAGCTCTGCTCGTCAAGCATCTTAAAGGGAAGGTCTAACGGGAGACCTCACTCTGGACTCGACCCCACATGCCCTGTGCCAAACTCCTCCAGGTCCCTGCATGCAGAAAGGAATGGAGACTGACCTACCTCACAGGGCTGCTGTGTGGGTTCGGGAGGCAAGTCTGTGAAGGGTTCTTTGAAATCCCATGGGGGCCACATCTGTGAGTGGTTTGAGAAATGTGAATATGCTTTTATTTATTTTGCTTTGGCTTAGCTACTATGCAATAAGAGAGCTCCTCCTTATTGACAACAGCCTCTCTCTTGGGCTGTTTGCTCTGGGAAGGCAGGAAAGCCACACCCCAGCTTCCCATCTCCTCTAAAGTGGGTTGGTGCTGGAGGAAGTGGGGACAGAGAGACAGCAAAGGGGGGCAGCTGCTGGGACTAAGATAGTAAGTGGATAAGGGAAGAAGGGCAGATGAAGACAGTGACAGCCTTGCTTACAGTGACAGTGGATGGAGAGATAGGAGAGAAACAAATGGAGCTTGTTTTTCAGTTGAAGTGAAGAAGGGTCACTTTACAGGCCAATTCTCATTTTAAGCAATCCTTAAGAAATGTTTATCTTTTGGGGCACCTGGGTGGATCAGTTGGTTAAGCAGCCAACTCTTGATTTCAGCTCAGGTCATGATCTCACGGTTCATGAGTTCGGGCCCTACGGTGGGCTCTGTACTGACAGGATGGAACCTGCTTGGGATTCTCTCCACCACCACCCCCTCTTTGCCACTACCCCACTCTGGCTCTCTCAAACTAAACTAAAAAAAAAAAAAAAAGAAGAAATGTTTATTTTTCTTTGTTACTGATGGAATCTGTGGTTATTTGAAAGAAATTTAGAAAATGCACAGATGCAAAAAGAAAATATGCTATCTACAATCCACCTGTTGGGGATAATTAAGGCAAACCTTTTGGAATGATGCTAACTTGTGTTGCTAACAGGTGAATTCAAAGCATACACTGGTTTGCTCTTGGAGCACGGGAGGCCTCCAGTTTGAGAAATTCTTAAGCTTCCCCAGGAGTAGGTATGATCAGTGAATGTAAATTGACAACAGCAGCTAAAACAAGAGACGTTGGAGGGCCAAGGCCAGATCAAGGGACGACCATCCCGGGACCAGGGTGCCCAATGCAGGCAGTCACAGGGGCGGGCACCACCCAGCCCATGACTGTGGCCACTGCAGGTGGGTTCCTGGGATTCCTGAGAGTCACAGGCTCTATAACCTCCTCCTTATCCAAGTGACTGTTCTACAGCTTTCTGTGAGAACACCCCTTTTAAAAGAAATGGACTCTTCATTTTATAAACTATAGAGCTCTGTAAATATATTCCTGCATGGCACATCATTTACAGATTTCTACATGTATCACATACACTCTTCACCTCGTTGAAGGGTGCCTAAAGCGAATGCCTGGTCTTGGAAAGGAATGAGGCTTCGAGAAGCTTCTGTCCACTTGGATATCATCTCACCCTTCATCCCACTTCCCACATTTCTTCAGCAATTTGTGCACAGAGAGATAAGTGTGCTGATAGGCCCTGATTTCTTTTTAAGGTTCTACTGGTCCCACAATTTGATTAGTACAGCCATTTCTTTGTCCTTTCCCTTGCCTGTAGGAAAGGGAGCCAAAACAACAGTAGAGAAATGTTACAAATAGCATTTCTATCATTTATAAACTTCTCAGGCTGGAGGGTCTCTCTCAGCTTTTTTTTTTTCAACGTTTATTTATTTTTGGGACAGAGAGAGACAGAGCATGAATGGGGGAGGGGCAGAGAGAGAGGGAGACACAGAATCGGAAACAGGCTCCAGGCTCCGAGCCATCAGCCCAGAGCCTGACGCGGGGCTCGAACTCACGGACCGCGAGATCGTGACCTGGCTGAAGTCGGACGCTTAACCTACTGCGCCACCCAGGCGCCCCTTTTTTTTTTTTTTAATGTTTATTTTGAGAGAGAGTGCAGGAGAGAGGCAGAGAGAGAATCCCAAGCAGGCTCTGCACTGTCAGGCAGAGCCCAATGCGGGCTCAGTCTCATAAACCATGAGATCAGTACCTGAGCTGAGATCAAGAGTCAGATGCTTAACTGACTGAGCCACACAGGCGTCCCTTTCAGCTTCTTCCCTAGTGTCTCCTAGCATAGTACCTGGCTTACTGGGGAATGGGTGGATGGATGGACAAATGGATGAATGAATAAAGGAAGGAAGTTTGTTCCCTGGATGGAGATGAATTTCAATGAGTCTCACATGATTTGGAGAAATGAAAGCAGTTACAGGTGTGCCCACTCCCTTTGTAGATTCTCCCAAGGCCCTGAACTTCCTCTCTCCCTTGTCATCTTTGTTTCTTTTCCCCTCTCTTTGTCAGAGTGTCTGTCTGAATCCCAAATCCAAGATGCAATTAAATTGTAGTCTACCCACTTCCCTCCATCTTCACCAGTTATCTTCTACTGAGTTTTTTTTTTTTTTTACATTTATTTGTGTGATTATTTGATTAATGTCTGTCTTCTCCACTTGACTGCTCTGCAAGGCAGGGGCCATGTGCCCACTGTGGCACCTACGATGTAGACTGTGCCCAGGAAATATTAAATGAACACTCGCCATTATCTTTGGAGCCCTTAAACCGTGTCCAGTTCCCTCTACTCCCAGCCATTGCTCATTCCTGAGATGCCCACCCTTCTCTGCCTTAGCCTTCTCTCCCAGCACCTTTTTTATTATTGTTTCTATTCTCTCTAGCGACTCATGCCCCATTTCCCAGTCTCCCTGGGAAAAAAAAGAGAGGTTGGCTCTTTCTTCACTCATCTTAGAACCTTCCAGATGGTCCTGACACCATTCTTCAGCAAGCCCACCTGTGCTGAATGCAAAGAGATTTTGCTCTCTCCCACTTTCCCGTTTCAGTGCCTCAGCCAAAACCCTCCAGGTCCTTCCAGAATTCCTGGATGACTCCAAGCTGTGGTCCAAAGTCCCCCTTGCTTTCCACAACTCCCTTCTGCCACCCGCTTTGCCGTTGACTTTGTCCATCATCATTGCTTTCATTATGTTATATTGTAATATATTTCTGTGTCTGTACCCACTCTGAAACTGTGAGCACAAGAGCAGCTGCGGGTTATTTGCTGCCCTAGTACCCAGTACAGTGCCAGGTACAAAGCAAGTGCCCAATAAATGTCTGCCAAACAAAATGGAATGGATTCATCTTTACAATTCGAGGGAGGGAGTCACAGCCACTCGGATTTAGACATCAACACTTAACTGTGGTGCTTCCCAAACCCTAAACTTCTAACTTCTCATCCTTGGATCCCTGCTCCATGCTCTCAGTCCTGCAAAACCCTATCTTTGCCAAGGAGACCTTGGATAACACTAACAGAAATCTACTCATACTAAGCCAAATTTTACTAGAGAGGACTTGTGGAAACCCGAGAGCTGAACTATCAGCCTTCAAGAAGAGCAGGGATGGGGGCAGCTGAAAGCCTTTAGCAAGAGTTCACGGACCTTTATTAACCCTGTGCTCTGCCATGAGTCTCTCTGACTCAGCTCGGTTCCCTCACAGGGCAGCTGTGGACCACTGCAGTCATTAGTACCATTGTGTCCCCAGCTATTCAATCACTAGGTGGCCCAATTCCGAAGTCCAGGGAGAGGAGCCAACCCTTAGATCCTCCTCTTGGGGAAGGTGTCCATCCGGTTCCAATCAGTTATGGTTGGAATGGGGATAGGGAAGCTAAATCATGTGGTCCTCGAGCTACTCCTTTCAATTGCTCTGTGCAGATCCAATTAAGCCAGTAAAGGAAGTTGAGCACTATTGACAAAGAGCCTCGGTGAGTGCCTGGCTAATTCACTCTCACTGGAACCTCTTGCCTTTTCTTCCCTCCCGCTTCCCTGAGCCATTGGCACCTACCTGCTTGTCCAGCACGTGTCCTTGGCAGGGGGTCACCGTTGTCCTTTGTCAGGCTGCCTGGGCATGTGCTGTAAATGAATGGTCTCAACGGAGGCTGGTGTAGCTTGCAGGTGGTGCGCCAGTGGGTTAGAGTTAGCTCTGCAGGTGCTGGGTCAGGAAGACAGATCAGCGTGGAGGTGGGTTGGGAGTGAGGAGCGCAGTCCAAGCCTTCTTCCCTAAGCAGACAGGTTGAGCAGGAGAAATCAGAACAGGAATCCGGGAGAGTGGGGCAGGTCAGGCAGCAAGCAGAGGCTTGGGTAGTGAGCCTGAGGAAGTTAGGTTTCCATCTCCCAAAAGAGCTCTGTTAAAGGTCTCTTACCAACGCGGGTCAGTGGAATCCCACAACCTTCATGTCTCTTTGCGGGGTTTTTCCATGGACTTGGACTCTGTACACTGGTTCCTTTTCTAACAGGGTTTCTTGGACTCTCAGGACACTTGTCCCCCCTCATCAACATCCCTAAATAAGCCATCTTGTTCTCTGGTTCCATGATTTCCTTACCAGGCTTCTGATCTCAGTCCTCTCTCTCAAGAAGGTAGCATAAGGTAAGAGGTTAGGTTCTGGTGTGTGACTTCTGTTGACTTACTCTTCCTAAGGTCCCCTTTCCTGGACTGTAAAGTGGGACTATTAAGAGTCCCTGCTTCACAAGGGGTGTTACGTGGCATAAATACATTCATGCATGCATGTAAAATGCTTACCGTGGAGTCTGGAGTGTACTAAGTTCTCAATAACTATCAGCTGCCGTTACTTTCCAAAGTCTCGGTGTCTCCCTAGGAGATCTTCTCATCTCCCGTTTCAACTCTCTAGACAGATCACCCCCAGATCTGAATGCAGTTAGAGCTCTGGATTTTCACCTGCTTGTTGAGAGGCAACAGGGCAGAGGAAAGAGCACGGGCTCAGGAGGGGCAGACAGGGGCTTGAGTCCTGTTCAGCACTCACAACTGTGGCCCTCAGCAGCATTCACAAGAGTGCCTTCCTCTGAACACCTGCTCATCCACTCATCATCAGTGGATTAATGATACTTGCTTCTCTGGAATTGAATAAGCTGAATAAGTCACGTCCATTTCCCCCATAGCACCTATTATACTCTATAATTATAACTCTCACTGGAGCCTCTTGCTGTCCCCCGACCAAAGGGAAAGTCAAGTCCTGGACAGTAGAAGCCTTGCCTTCTTGTTCACTACTGTTCCTTGTCCCAGTACACTCCTGGCATAGGCTCAATAATGTTAATTTTTCATTTACTTTCTCTCCTCCTATATTCCTTTGACTTCTCAAAATCCGTAAGTACCAATCCAAACAACTAATCATTTCTTCACTAGACCTGACCCACTAATTTAACAAACATTTGTTAAATGCCAATTTTAAGCCAAACACAGGGCTAAGAGTTGGGACAAAAGACAGATGAGACATTTATTTATAGAAATGTTTACTGTAGGGGCGCCTGGGTGGCTCAGTTGGTTAAGTGTACGACTTCGGCTCAGGTCATGATCTCGCGGTTTGTGAGTTCGAGCCCCACGTCGGGCTCTGTGCAGACAGCTCAGAGCCTGGAGCCTGCTTCAGATTCTGTGTCTCCCCTCTCTCTGCCCCTCTCATGCTCTGTCTCTCTCTGTCTCTCAATAATAAATAAACATTAAAAAAATTTTTTAAAAAAGAAATGTTTACTGTCTACTGGGGAGATGAATAATGACATAGTATTTGCAATAATAGTAATACAGACACTCACAGGGAACCTCCCACACAGAGAAGGAACAATCTGACTGTAGGAGCTGGATAAGGCTTTTCAGAGGGGGTGACAATTGTCCTGGGTGGTCATGAAAGAGTAGCAATTTTTCTGACAGAGATTGCCAGACAGAGGGAAGAGTGTCTTTAGAGACATGAACATGGTGCATAAGCTCAGCTGGAATGGAGGGCTTGAGGGAAGAAAATGAGAATGAAATTGATAATTTCCCCACATTTTTAAAGTGGAAAATTTCCAACATATACAGAAATAGAATAAACGGCATAAAAATCTACCTGCATGTGCTCATGATCCAGTTCGAACAATTATCAATTCAATGGCCAATCTTGTTTCATTTACATCCCTACCCACTAAACTCCCATCCCATTGTTTTGATGCAAATCCCAGGCATTGAATCATTTCATTCATAAATACCTCAGTAAAGCATTTCAGTAAAGCATACCCCCCTTTTTACCCTTTTTACAGATGTGTCGTAGTACAGATATATCCTATCAATGCGACTTGTTTGTTCGATGTTCATCCCTGATATGTCTATGGTGACTGCACTATATCAGGATATACAGACTTGGCTCCCTCTTTTAGGAAGCTACTTAGTGTTCCTTTTGTGACTATTTCACAGTTAACGTCACCAGTCCCCAACCTCTTAATAACAAAACAAAGCTGGGAGAATACCCTTGAACCCACACCTTTGTCTGCGGGCGTATCTGTAGGTTAAATTCCTGGACGTGGAATTGCTAGGACCTGGTACACTTCGAATTCTGACAGGCACTCCCTATTTGGCCGAAGAGGTGCTTTGAATGATATGGTGAGGGTGCTTACTCTCTGTTGTCTAGGCTCGTGGCATTTTGGGGTCCTCTCTGCCTCTTCTCCATGTAATCAGTCATATGTCCTACCAACTCAGCTCCTCCTCGTGTGTCCATCCTCTTCCCTTCATTCCCACTGCTGTGGTCCTGGCTCAGCCTGCATCCTTTTTTTAAACCAGGACAGTTGCAACTACCAATTCAGAATGTATTTTAATCATCTGCCGGAGCAAATATCCAAAAACGGGAACTAAATCATTCCCATTGGTGTCTCACCATGTACCATATTGAAAAATCCACCTCCTGAGCCCGCTTCCCAGTGTTTTCCAGTTTGTCTCCAACTTCTCGCTCATTTCTTGTACAGTTTAGGCTTCACAAAACTGGACTCTGGTGCCTTACTTGGGCCCCCGGCTCACCTTCTCCCTCCTTTCTCTGTTGTAGAAGTCCTGCTCATCTTTAAGGTACACTCAAACCATGCCTCCTCCATGAATCCACACAGTGTAGGACCACTAGTTTTGGACCCAGGTTGACTTGGATTCTAATCCTGACACACAAACTCTCTCTCTCTTTTAACATCTGGAGTCCTCTGATCACCAGAGGAATACATTTTCATTTGTGAATAGGATTACCAGCTTTGGGCTTATGAATGTCTTAATAGTTGAAGGCCTCAGAGATACATGTTTTCTAGGATACCTAAGACCCCTTTTTACTGTTCTTAAAATGATTACAGCTGCTACCCTTAAACCTCACTTAACAATGTCAAGAGCCTTACCAATAACAGAAAGTTATCCACATAAGGACCCTTCTAAATATAAAAACAAGAGCTGTGGTCATAGCCAAGGCTGCCATCTTCCTGAGGAATATTCCAGAGATCAGTTTAGCTGATAATTTAGAATCATAGGTTCATGGCTTGAACCAGGCACAGCAGACCTAGAAATTATGATGAGAAATCTTACCAGAAACGTTAACAAAATAAGCTGACTCTGCCGCCAGAGCTATCAGAGACCAGCAAATATCTTGAGATGCCCTAGCTCAGGTGGTCCTACACAACAGTAATCAGGGCTCTCTTCTGGGGGGATGTCACTTAATCTGAGGCTCAGATTTTTCAGTTAAATAAAGACAGGGCGCCTGGGTGGCTCAGTCAGTTACGTGTCCGCTGCTTGGTTTCGGCTCAGGTCATGATCTCACAGTAATGGGCTCGAGCCCTGCATCTGGCTCTGTGCTGACAGCGCAGAGCCTGCTTGGGATTCTCTCTCCCTGTCTCTCTTTCTCTCTCTCTCTCTCTCTGCCCCTCCCCTGCTTGCTTTCTCTCTCTCTCTCTTAAAAAAATTTTTTTAAAATAAAGACAAAAATACCAACCTTGTGGGATAATGGACATATAGTAGGCGCTGAATAAAAAGTAATTTTCATCATTTTGTGGTGACTATGACCCTCCCACCGCACTTGATTGGAGCACTGGCTGTATTTGCTTTGTATCACAGCTGGTTGTGGACAAGAGTATCTTGAGCACTAGACTGCAAGACCGCTGTGGGCAGGGCGCGTGAATCACTCCTGATCTCCCAGCGCCTGGCAAAGAGCCTGCAAATAAGCAAAGAAAGAATCAAAAGTAAACGTGTAAAAAGATGAGCGGACGGGAGGTCAGACTCACCCGTTGAGCTGCCCGAAGACAGGGTTCATCTGGAATCTCGACCGGCAGGCACAACTTGCGCAGCGCAGGCCGGAGGCGGGGCCTGGATTCGGGGGCGGGGCTTGGTGCGGACCCCGCCCCGGTCCGTCCGTGAATACGCTCCGGAGGCATAGGCCAACGCGCAGCCTCGCCCGGCGCTGCCTGCAGGCTCCTCTGTGGCCCGGCGGGTCCACGGTCGCCGGCGCCGAGATGCGCCCCCTGCTTGGCTTCCTGCTGGTCTTCGTCTGCTGCACCTTCGCCCTGTACTTGCTGTCGACGCGACTGCCCCGCGGGCGGACGCTGGGCCCGGACGAGGAGACTGGAGGCAGGTGCGTGGCGCGGGTGGCGAGGACCGCGGTTCGGGTCCGAGGAAGGGAGACAGATACGAGGATGGGGTCTTCGAATCGGAGATTGGGTTCCAGGATCGGAGGCGTCGGGGGCCGGGGTTCAGGTCTGGGACTGGAGATCAGGGTCGGTGTCCTGGCCGCGTCTGTCCGGTCTCGGGCGGGCGGGGTGGATGGGAGTTGTGGTCCGCCCGGACTGAACCTGCGCTGTGCTGGTTGCGCGGAGTGCAGTTTGGGCGCGCTATCCGTGGCTTTGCACGCAGGGCGGTGATTTGCCCAGGGAAACGCGGCGCCTTATGCCGGCGGCACCGGTTCGCGCACCTCTGTCTGCGCCGTGGCATCGCCACGGGAGCCGGGTGCCGATCGCCTTCCCGGCCCAGCCCTGACCCGCATTTTCAGCCGACTCTCGCCCTTGTGTGGCCCCGCAGCCTCATCTCTACGACAGCTTTCGGCCTCCCTCCATCGTTCTTCCCACCCCATCTCACTTCCGTCAGCCCTGCCCTTGGGACTCTACGGCATTTGGCATTCGGTCTGCAGAAGTGTTGCAAGGACCTCTTTAAACATTCACGAATTAATTATCGGAGCCGCCCCTCTTCCTGAATATCTCTACTTTCCCCCTTCTCATGACCATCTGGATGGGGCTGGAGGCGGTGCAATTCTTACCGGGCTGGTTTGCCGTCAGTGTTGCATACTGTTCATAAAGTTTATGGAAATGTGTCTGCCACAGCATGGCGTTCACAAGAATGTTACTGATATTTGAATATGAGGGTAACTTTTCGGTTACCCTAGTTGGGAGGTTGGGAAGGCTCTGCTGTGGGTGTCAGACACACTAAGAGAAACATTCTGATGAGAACTAGGAGGGTGTGCTCGTAATTGATCATTGATAGATTCAAGGGTTATTCTTATGTCAGAGGCAAGGTAGCCCTTACACTGTAACCCTTGTACAGGGTTCAGAATGCACTAAGGGCCAGATAAAGAGCGGGGTGAACAAGCAGCCTCTTTGAAAGGATTAGTTCAAGCTTGACATATTATCAAGAAGGTTATGTTTGTGGTGTGGGACAGATACACTTTCCAAGAGAATCTTTAATTGGCTTGTTAGTGACTGATAAAACAGTCTTTTACTAGTAACTCAGGAGCGATGTGAAGTTTTAATTGTCCTTGGCCTGAAGTTTGTCGGGGAGGGGGTGTTCCAGGAAGGGAAGGCAGTTTAGGACATTTAGTTCTTGCCTGAAAATTAATCCATTTGTCTCTTAAGAATAGATCATAAAACCTGAGAACTAAAAGGGAACTTAACACTCATTTTTTCTATAAGGAAACTGAGGCCCAGGGACTAGCCTGAGGTCACACTACTGGACAGTAGCAGAGTTGAGATGTTAACCCAGGTCTCTTGCTTCCAAAAGCAGGGCTCTTATGTCTGTGTCGTTGGAAAGAGGACACAAAGGACTTTGTAGGTGCTAGGCTGATCTGGTCTCATATTTCCATCTGCTTTTCCAAATCCCCAGGTCACTGTGGTTCCCCTCAGACTTGGCCGAGCTGCGGGAACTTTCTGAGGTCCTTCGAGAGTACCGGAAGGAGCACCAGGCCTACGTGTTCCTGCTGTTCTGCAGTGCCTACCTCTACAAACAGGGCTTTGCCATCCCTGGCTCCAGCTTCCTGGTCAGTGCCTTGCCCTCCTTCTGTGTGTGCTAGAAAGCTACCTTCTGTCTTATTTATTTATTTATTTATTTATATTTTGGAGAGAGAGAGAGAGAGCCTGTGCACAAGCAGGGGAGGGGCAGAAAGAAGGAAACACAAAATCAGAAGCATGCTCCAGGCTCTGAGCTGTCAGCACAGAGCCCAACGTGGGCTTGACCCCACGAACCGAGAGATCGTGACCTGAGCTGGAGTCGGATGCTTATCCGACTGAGCCACCCAGTGCCCCCCCCCTTTTCCCAATATTTATTTATTTTTGAGAGCACAAGGTGGGGAGGGGCAGAGAGAGGGGGCCAGATGATCCGAAGCGGGCTCTGTGCTGACAGCAATGAACCTTATGTAGGGCTTGAACTTAAAAACCGTAAGATCATGACCTGAGCTGAAGTCAGATGCTCAACCGACTGAGCCACCCAGGTGCTCTGCCACTTTCTGTCTATGTAGAGTCCGCCTCAGGCTGCAAATCATATGGTCCAGAGCTAGACTACTGTGGCAATGATTTGATGACAGCTTCCCAAGTGTCAGACACTTTCACAGTTGCCTCACTGACCTTAGTTAATTCTCCTAACAGCCTTATAACGTGGGCCTGATTATCACACTTTACAAATAAGGAAACAGGCAGTGAGAAGGAACTGTCCAAGTTGACAGTGAGGAGGGGCAGGGCTGGGGTCTGAACCCATGTCTGCCCAGCTCCAGAGTTTGCCTCTTCTCTCAAATGTGCTGTTTTTGTTTCTAAGGCATTGATGGCTGTGTGCTGTCCTGGACACACACACAATCTGAGCTGGCTCAGCTGTTCCTCCTCAGAGTTTCCATAACGTTCTGATTTGGCACTGTTTTCTGTTATTTATTTTTTTTAAATCCGTTTTTTCCACCAGTCTTTGAGCTCTTGGCGAACCAGGCCCGTTCCTTACTCTGAGCTTTGTATTTCTTTGCCTGGTACGGGGAAGTGCCTTCACAAATGTTCGATGAACAAATGCAAGTTGTTCATGATGATGCTAGACTGGCGAGGCTGGAAGCTTCCCTGGTGTGGGGAGGAAAAGTTATTTGGAATTCCCAGGCGGCCCCCAGCACTCAGAACCGCAGTGCTGGGCCTAGACATGTGCTCTAGTCACGGGCTGCTTCTCTTCCACCCCCACCTCAGATTCTACAGAAGAACCTTGCTGTGCTCCCTGCGGCGTTTTAAGCTCCTGCGTGTAAATATGTGTATATTTTAGGGCTTGGGGTGGGTTTGAATCCCAGCTGTATAACCATGAGCCAGCCCTTTAACTTCTGCAACCCCATTTCCTCATCTGGAGAACGGGGATACTCACACAACCCCCTAGGACTATTGCGTGGCAGAACTGAATGGAACGTGGGCATAGAGCAGCTGGCTCAGTGATGGTGCCTGGCATGCAATGGCCTTCAGCATTTGTTGAATGACTAAGAGACTGAGCAGGAAATCCCTGAAAGCTTCCTCCTGTCATGCTTCTTTCTCCTGCCCTGGCATCTGTTCTTCACCCCAGGCTCAGCTGGATGCACTTAAGCAATCTCTTTGTTGGAAACTGGAAGAAAAGCAAACATGTCCATGCCGAGAGAGACAGGGGAGGTGTGTGGTCCTGGAAGTCAGGGGCTGGCTTCTTGGGGTTGCCCCTGTACCTGCCCTCCCTCTTGAGCTGATCCTTCTTCAGGGCAAAGAGTCAGATGCTACCGGAGGGTGAATCCTGTCTCTGCCTAGTGTGAGCTTGGGCCTGATACTTAGTCTCTCATCCCCGTAGAATGGTGTAAGGATGGCAGATGACACAGGGTCATCATGAGGATTAAATAAGACATACAGTCAGGCACTTAACATATAATAGGTGCTCATCAGACCCCCCACCTTCTCACTTCTAACTTCCCCTTTTACTTTCTGTCTTGGATCCCATGTTGACAGGGTGATGTCTACTGGCCAAAGTGTATTTAGGGCATACCGGTTCACTTTCCATTTTTGTTAATCTAAGACTTTTGTGAGTGTCAGCTAGAGCTCTCATCAACGTGGAACCCCCAGTGTTGTGTACCACATAGATGTAATTCCAGCAAGAAGCAAAGAAAGAAGACGTTTTATATAGCTTATGTGGTCTTATTGAAGGAGAGAATTCATGGTTTGTGTTCATTTAAGATAGTTAAAATAACGTGTGAGTTCCATTTCTCCCTTCTTGGAGCACCAGTGTTTGCAGGACCTACTACAACCCAGGCAGCAGGCTGGGGGCTGTATACACTGTTATCCCATTTAATTATCACCTGCCTTCTGAAGCGTTAATCTTCCCTGTTTGAAAGGTGAAGAGACCAAGGCCAAGGTTGGAGTTTCCAGCTCTTCCGTCACTCTTTGTTCACACCTTTAAAATGGGAGTTGAGGGGGGTGCCTGGGTGGCTCCGTCAGTTAAACGTCCGACTTCGGCTCAGGTCATGATCTCGCGGTCCATGAGTTCGAGCCCCGGGTCGGGCTCTGTGCTGACAGCTCAGAGCCTGGATCCTACTTCAGATTCTGTGTCTTCCTCCCTTTCTGCCTCTCCTCCACTCACACTGTGTCTTCCTCTCTCTCTCAAAAATACATAAACATTAAAAAAAATAAATAATAAAATAAAATGGGAATTGGGTTTTGGTTGGGAAAATCACTAAAAGAGGAGGGAACCTATGACTCTTGGGCTCCAGTACAAGGTGGCTGGTAGCCACCAGATGTTCTAATGGCTGAGGGTTTTGTTTTGTTTTTGCAGAACATTTTAGCTGGTGCTTTGTTTGGACCATGGCTGGGGCTTCTGCTGTGTTGTGTGTTGACATCAGTGGGCGCCACATGCTGCTATCTGCTCTCTAGTATTTTTGGCAAACAGCTGCTGGTCTCCTACTTCCCTGATAAAGTATGCCTGCTGCAGAGGAAGGTAAGCGGAGGGGCCACAACTGAGTACGGGCCCTGGAGTGTCACCTCAGGGCCTCATGAGCTCAATGCTCCTCCACCCTGCTTTGGAGCTCACGGGGGTTCCTTTTGATGTGATCAAGAGTCACAGACCTGGGATCAAATTCCAGCCTCATCATTACCAGCTCTGTGATTTGAGGCAAGTTCCTGACTTCTTGGAGCTTCAGGTACTTTCATTTAAAAAATGAGGAAAACATGGGGTGCCTGGGTGGCTCAGTCGGTTGAGCGTCCGACTTCGGCTCAGGTCATGATTCAGCGGGGTATTGTGAGTTCGAGACCGCGATCGGGCTGTGCTGACAACTTAGAGCCTGGAGCCTGCTTCAGATTCTGTGTCTCCTTCTCTCTCTGCCCCTCCCCTGCTCATGCTCCGTCTCTCTCTCTGTCTCTCTCTCTCTCTCTCTGTCAACAATAAATAAACATTAAAAAAAAAATTTAAAAGATGAGGAAAACAATCTGTACTCTGGAGGGTTGTTGGAAGATTCAGGAAGAGAATATGTGAAGTATCTAGAAAAGTGCTTGGCACTAACAGATTGTCATGTCTAGAGATTCTTTCTGCTTCTTAATGACCTTGTCTTTTTTGGCTACAGGTGGAAGAGAACAGAAACAGCTTGTTTTTTTTCTTACTGTTTTTGAGACTTTTCCCCATGACACCAAACTGGTTCTTGAACCTCTCAGCTCCGATTCTGAACATCCCGATTGTGCATTTCTTCTTCTCTGTTCTGATCGGTAAGAAGCTGGTGGGTTAAGTCTGTGTCTTCAGCAATGTCATGTTGGGGGCCTGCCCTGGGTTATCAGCCACATGGGCATGTGCCTGGCTCTGGCCTCTGTTTAAGATCTGCCTTGAAAAAAAGAGGTGGTGCTAGTGAAGTTCTTTGTTGCCTTTTGACAATTGTATGACCTTCAATAAGCTACTTACCCTCCATGAACCATTTGGCCAGATGAGGGGCTGGGACCAGAGCAGTGTTTCTCAAAGTCTGTGCCTTGGATCGCCTTTATCAGAGTGGTAATGTGCTAATATCCTGTAAAATCAGTGACTGTTGTTTTCTCCACACTAGAAGTAAACCAACCCTACTTTAAGCCTAGGCAAGGATTGCCTCTCTTAAACCTACTTTAGAGCATGGAGGGAAAGACTATTCAGGGCTTCTAGGTGGAACATAACAAATCTGTGGTTGAACAACTGCTGTTAATAGGGAATTCTTGAGAGAAAGTAAGATCTTAAAGCAAAATTGACCACAGCTCATTCTGGTCATTTTGGCTTTCAAACAAAGTGCCTCAGTACCTCAGTTAACAGCCTGTAATTACCTAGGTGGCAGAAGGCTTGGCAAGACCCTGGAGACCGGGGCTCCAGTCCCCCTTCTGACAAGCTGTGTGACCTGGAGTGCTCTATGAACTTGAGGCATCTACTGTAGGGAAGGAACAGGTTGTTAGGGGGTCCCACACCAGTCAGAGTCTCCGGGGTAGAGGTCAGGAGAAGCTATTAGAGTTTCCTGGGTTTTACTCCAGGCCCAGGTAACCAGAATCTCTGTGGGGAGCCCCAGAATGTGTTTTTAACAGCTTCCCCTGGGATTGGTATATAACCAGCCTGTCTGCTACCAGTCAGACTTTTGGGATCCAGTGGATTTGATGATCGCTTAGAGACAGTATAGAACATGAAAGTAGTACTATTTCTAAGAAACGTGTTTTTCTCTTAGCATGCTATAAATCTCATAATACTGGTACCTCTCATTACTTAGGCTGTTGGATGCTCAGAACCCAGTGTGGGGCACTTCTAGCAAATTGGTGAACCTTATACTTTTTTGTACTAACTGTATCTCCTGATTAACTTATTCTTGACTTTTCTTTTCCCTATTAAACATTTTTTGTCTTATTGTCGTATATGTATTTTTGTAAATCATCACAAGCCTGTTTGTTAAACGAGGCAGTTGTTTATGGGAAGTGAGGAAAGGGGGGGAAGGAGTAGAGAGGGAGGGAAAGAGGTAATGTGCTTACGGGTCAGGAGTTAGGCAAAAAAAAAAAAAAAAAAAAATCTGGAGTCTGGGTTGTGAATTCCTGGGGACATTTGTGAAGGGCGATTATTTTTTATTTTGCTGCCCCCAGTAACAGGCTCTTTCCCTTTTCTTCCAGGTTTGGTCCCATACAATTTTATCTGTGTGCAGACAGGCTCCATCCTGTCAACTCTGACCTCTCTGGATGCTCTTTTCTCCTGGGAAACGGTCTTCAAGCTTTTGGCCATTGCTCTGGTGGCCTTAGTTCCTGGAACCCTCATTAAAAAATTTAGTCAAAAGGACCTGCATTTGAATGAAATAAGCAACACTAATCATCTAAACAGTAGAAAGGACACGTGATCTGGGTTTTTGGTTGCCATGTCTTTGGACTTTGTTGTTTATTTGTATAATGGGTGTGGTCCTGTGCAGCCCGTCATTGTTTTTTAATTACCCTCAACAGGTGATTTTGGACACTATATATCTGTGTGCAGTGTTTTTATAAAGGACGCTCTGTTCTAGAAGGTGAACTGTATCAGGTTCTCAAACCAGTCCTGGTTTAGCAGGGCACTCCGTGAAACGGATGGCCTTCTAGAAAATCCTATTTGTATTTTGTTGAAAAACAAGGAACTCAGGATGGTCTGTTGTATTTGTCTCTCAGCAAACCCTGCGCTGCTTCAGGAGAGGATGCTGATTGTCCTTATCCAGAGTGCCTCTTCTGCAAAGTGATAGGCTGTTGTGACAGGTGTTCTGTTAAATCCCTGGTGGATGTTACTGGTGTAAATGATGTGAACCCACATCACTGACATTACCTTTTATCCTGTTAGTCTCATGGAGAGTGTTTTCTTCTGTATTTTTTTTTTTTTTTTTTTTTTTTTTTTTTTTTTTTGCCAATGACCTACCTCTTCCATAAGCCAAGGGGAACTAGCTGACAAACTGCATAGAACTTTCACATACAACTCAAATGCACAGTGATTTCTGTGATGCTTTGTGTTCAGATGCACTGATGTTACCAAACGTGTCAAATCTCTTGGTTGCGTGTTCTGACAACTCAGCTGATTGCAAATAGACTATTAAATATGAATGCAGCAAATTCTGCATGTTATGGGTATATTCTGGGGACATTCTTAACCTGTCTGAATGGGGCAGGGCCCCTTGACTCACTGGAACCAAATGACCTGTCGGTACATTTTCTAATCTGTCCTTTCTGTGTGGGAATCCTGTCTCTGTCCTGCTAGGAGAATGGATTCAGTACACTCAGCTATCAGCCAGCATAGCCTCTGAATTTTTTTCATTTTGTCATTTGTCAAGAATAACTGAGGAGTAATTCTATTTTATCTTTTAATCCAAGGGGGAGAACTTGGTTTTGGATTACTGTGTTGTGTTGTATTTTTAATGATCTGTAGCTGCTGCTGCTGCTTACAGCTGCAGTACTGAACTGGCACAGACCTAGGTTAATGCTTCCAAGTACAGCAGGACCTTGGCACCTACACTGACCATCTCTGGGATCCTGTACGGTACAGGACTAACTCGCCATTTCTTACCAGAACCGTTGCTGTTGGGCATCCTCTGCTGGGTTTTGATTTGGTGCAGCCAAGAATCTTGCCAAGGCTTTCCCTCAAGCCACGTGTTCTGCATGAATTCTTGAGAATACTCCTGTTCAGGAGGAAGAATGAATTCCTAAGCAGTGTTTTTTGGACAGGGTATGATCCAAAAAACATGACAAGGACTTCATTTTTAAAGGCATATTGCTTTAGAAGAAGCATGCTTACAGGAGCGGGGGTGAGGAGAAGGCTGTGTGAAATCTGTGGCTCTTTGTGTTCTGGAGGAGCAGGAGGCAAGGGGAAGCCAGTATGTTTTCTACACGACTGCAAGTGTGTGCCCTTTATCAAGATCCTTATGTTTGTCTCACTCCCTCTCGCCTCATGATTTTGCTACACTGTGCCTTACCAGTTGTGAGTTTACAGGCAAAGCAATTTCCCAAATAAATGGATATAAACATTCTTTATGGGGTGTGTTGTACATGTTGCTTACGTTCAGTTCCCCTTGCCAGCGGGAATCAGGATTGGCTGAAAATCAAACAATCCAAAATGGTGTTTTAGCGTCACTCTCAGGAGGCTTCTTACCAGTATGATTCCTTAGAAGCCAGATTTTCATTTTCACCTTTTCCTTCTCTACACTTACTTTATAGTGGAGTCACTAATGAAGAGTAGCTACAAGATGGGCAGCAGGAAGGCCATGGGAAAGAAGAAGGGCACGTGTCCACCATCAAGAGGAAACTATTAAGGAAAGAGAGGAATGGTTGTCCCCTCCTTCTGTAGGTGTGTCTGAAACCACAGCCACAGAAACCTTCTCCACACCCGGCTTTCCTGGCTGCAGGCCACCCTGCATGTGAAGTTTTCCTTTCCCTACAGCTCTGACAAGTGCTGAGACCTGTGAAGGCAGCTTTCGGGACACAAACAGAACCTTAGGAAAAGACAGGACCAGAAAGGTGTGAAGCACGCTTTTTGTTTAATTCCATGCATTGGTTTGCTTCGATAGTCGCTCTTGTTCCCATCAGTGTACAATTATTCAGTACAAATGGAGCTGGCATCAGAAACCACAGGGAGCAGGGGACTGATGGTACTGGAGGTCCAGGGAGACAGATGAGGAAGCTCATTTTGAGACTTAACCCCAAAAAAGAATTTGCTCCAAATTGATAGGAACTCAAATTATTGCAGTAAAGAATCAGAGTGGGTCTTCCCACTTCCAGAGTCTGAGAAGAGGGCACTGGAGGTGGAAAGCCACTCAGATGATATGGTCAATAAGGGATATCTTCTTGGGGCACCTTGGTGGCTCAGTTAAGCATCTGACTCTGGACTTCGGCTCAGGTCATGATCTCACAGTTCCTGAGTTTGAGCCCCATATTGGGCTCTGTGCTGACAGTGTGGAGCCTGCTTGGGATTTTCTCCCTCTGTCTCTCCTTCTCTGCCCCTCCCCTGCTCTGTCAAAATAAATAAGGTTAAAAAAAAAAAATTGTGGAAAAAAAAAAAAAAGGCTATCTTCCTAAGAGCTTGCACATTCTGGCTGCGGGGTCCCTCTGTGTATGACCATTGGAGGACCCCGTCTGTCAGGTCACTGGGCAACAGCCTGGGGCCAGGAGGCAGCATTCCCGAGTGTGGTGAAGTGGTTCCAGAGAGTAAGCCTGGGGGTCGGGGGTCTGCTGAAAGTTTTCTTACAGTGGCCTTCCATCTGCCTAGGGGCTTGTCTCTACGAAATCCTGCCATCATGTTCTGGTCATGTGACAAGTTAACAAAAGCTTTAGTCCAACTCCTTTGGGGTAACCCTGTTTTTCAGAGCAGTGCTTTCAGAGCTCCCCTCTTGTGCCACCTGTCCCTGAGAAATGTTCCAGGTTCCAGAAGGCTCTTCCACTTGGCAACCTACTTCATTCCAGTTTGAATAGGCGCTTGCAGTACTGGCTGCAACATGCAAACAAACAGACTAATGTAATTCTTACGTGCTAGTCTGTGAGGTTGGTAACATTGGTGATACGAGTATAGTAAGTAGGACATTTATTCTATGAAATCAGCAAAGAAGAAAAATCTTGCTGCCTGGAAAGGCACTAAATTCATACTGACAGTACAAGTCAAAGTCTTAAGAAGAATATCACACTGTTTTGATACATTAGCCTCACAGAGTCTAAGAAAGAAGCAGGTAACTGGGACCTAACTTTAGCTTTCTGTTTATAGAAGGGGAGGGAGGAACATGCCTATTTAACACAATGAAATGATGTAAATGAAGAGACACTTTGGAATTCAATCCATCAGTGACTGGAAATTATTCAATTGGAATTGTAGTCCAAAAGGGCGGTGGGTGGAAGCAAGTGGCCTTTTTCCTGCCAGTGGTGCTGACCTCCACAGCCACAGGGTGGGCTCCAAAAGGAGAACACTGGTGTGGTCCTGTCATTCTCCCTTCAGGGCTAACTCAAGATCTCAAACCACCTTGAGAAAATTAATTGTGAGGTTCGAGTTGGGATGCTGAAATAGATGTCCCCTTTTGCAATCAAGCTGTCATTGTTTCTCCAAGTGCTGTGTTATGAGAGGTTCTGAGGCTGTGTCCGGGCTGGGCGGGAAAGAATATGGCGATCAATAAATAACATCAGTCTTGGGTGTTAGGGTGGAGGTGATAGGTGGTGGTATGTGGTAGTATATTGGCTTCTGGTTTCGTGGAAAAACAAAACAGCAAACTGTACTGCAGAGCAAGGCAGGAATCCCTTGCATTCCAAGTATGTTCTATTCTAGAGAATTCGGTTCCAGGAAGTTCAAGTAGGAACATTTTACGAAAAGGGGGAACACTTGAGACATGGGGATAAAAAAGTAAATTAGTTGATCAGTGAGGATGCATTCACATGGAAAGGATGTGTCAGGGCTTCACAGCAGGGGAGGGCATTTAAAATTGGGTTGGTACCCGGAAAATCCCAAATCATCGTATCTATTACTTAGAGTAAGAGGGAAATTTAGCACAATGAGGCCCTGAAATATATGTCCAGTACTTAGTACGTCCTACTAAAAAATCCTTAATTGTAGAAGGATGGTTTGTTGGTACTAAAGTTTTAAATATCTGAACTTCAAGTAGGCTGTACCAAATCCTTTTTGAGTAGGAGCTCCCCCAATCTTGCAAACAGGTCTAAACTTCAGTGGCAGTAAGGTCTATTATGATTTCAAAGGAAGTTGGCTTCTCAGTCCCTCTGCAAAGCAATTTTAATAGGAATTGTTACCAGAGGACATGCTCTAGAAATAGATGAAAATCAGAACCAATGTTCATCTGCAACACAGATTAAAACTCGTTATCTTGTAGTCAGTCAAAAACAGATGCTAAATGAATGTGGACACTGATCCCAAGGGGGTTAAGCTTTCCATCAACAATGAAGCTTGAAATCACAGTCTTGTGAGGTTCCTTAAAGCATTGTGGCACAGTCCTCAGGACTGAAGGATCAGCTCTTCAATTTCCTGAGCTCTTAGATTCAGCACTCCTCAGAGGATGTGGAGCTGTTCTCCAAGAAACACACACGGATTCAAAATTGTCCTGGTTAGCTCAAGGCAGGCAGTGAAGGGCAAGGCTGGGATAGAGAAGGCATTTCTCTTTTTAACCTAGACTATTTAAAAAAAAAATTTTTTTGGGGCGCCTGGGTGGCTCAGTCGGTTGAGCGGCCGACTTCGGCTCAGGTCATGATCTCGCAGTCCGTGAGTTCGAGC